TGAGTGAGTGAATGAATGAATGAGTGAATGAGTGAGTGAGTGAGTGAATGAATGAATGAATAGATGGCGACTCCCCCAGGGTGGCCCAGGAGGAGATAATAGCCGCTGCTGGTCACTGCAGGCTCCACTCAGGAGCCACATGTGCCTGCGGGGCTGCTCTCCCACATGTCAACTCTTCGAGCAATGCCTGTCACCTGTAGTCCTGAGGGCGCTGTCACGAGCAGCTACCTGGGACCTACCTGGATTTTACCTGAGGGGATCTTTTCCCTGTCTTTGAGTGGTTGCCCTTGGCCGATAGCCAGGCCAGGTGTTCCCCACGGTGGATGCACTCCTGGTGCCAAAGTAGATTACAGCGTCACCTTTGTAACCCACCTGGGAACAGCACTGAGCAGTTTGCATAAACATTTTTCAATACATTATTTCACTTAATCTTCACAAGAACCATGTGAAGTTGATGAGATTTTTTTCACCCTGTTTCAGGAAGAGGAAATTGGGTCCCGAGAAGGAAACTGACTTACCCCACACAAACAGCCCACTCGCAGGGGAGCCAGCGCAGGGCCAAGCTGCCCACCTGGCCTGGCGCGCTCAGCCCCAGAAGCTGCTGCTCCTGATGGCACTGCCACCTCACCTCCTGGCACTGCCCACCCCAAGAACCCTGGGTTCTTGGGTAGCCCGAGTATCGGGGCCCCTGGGAGTTACTGAAAGAGGAAGGAGAAATGGGTGGGCCCTTCTGTTCCACTAGTCACCCTCCCCCAAGGAGAAGGGTCCTTTATATGTGGGACCCTTCACACCCTGAGAGCAGGATCAGATCACACACAAATACACACACACACACGCCACACACAAATACACACACACACGCCACACACAAATACACACACACGCCACACACAAATACACACACACCACACACAAATACACACACACACGCCACACACAAATACACACCACACACACACACACACACACCAGTACGGCGGAAGGCTTTCCCTGCAGTTCAGGAAAGTGGAGGCCGGGGTGGGCGGGGCCTGTGCTGGGAGGACGGCCACGCCCAGTGCTGCCGTCCACCGGGGAGGCCAGCGTCTGGGGCCAGGGTCAGTACTGTTCAGTTCCAGCCCAGCTCAACCACAAACGCTCGTGCAGCTGCAGGCGAAGCAGGTCCCTTTCCTGGACCCAGTTCCCCAGACTGTCCCGCCACTGCCCGTCTGGATCGGGCATGGGGAGGGCCCCTTGTTTCTCTGGGCAGAAGAAGGGCGTGGTGGACAGGGCAGGGCCCGGTTCCTAGAGCCTCCTCCCCTGCACGGAACTGTGTCCTTTGCTCTTTAGTCACCCGAGTAAGTCATTTAAAAAGAATTAAAGTAAAATGCACTCAACAGAATCCACAAACATGTATTAACACCAAACTAGACCAAAGCCTAATCAAGCCTTTAATTATTCAGAATTGTAGAGGAGGGCGGTGGGGCTCAGAGCGGCCTCCGGGGACCGCTGGGGGCAGGGTGGGGCGCTTCGACCAGGACCTTCAGCCCCTGGGACGTGACAGAAAGCCGAAAATGGGTCCCAGAGAGCTTCAGGAGCCCTAGGATGCAGGCCTTGGAGCTGCCCTCCTGCCTATTTATGCCACAGCATGTCTGCTTAAAAATTTACAGCCCTATTTATACCCTGGTGGGCACTCGGCTTTCAGAGGGCAGAAGCCATTTGTGGTAAGAGGCCTGCCTGCTCCATGCATTCTGTTAAGGGGCAGAGCGTCCACCCTTTGCTCCCTCCCTCGGCGCCCGAGTGATGCGTGCTCACTTCCCTCCTGTTTTTGTGGGGGGAGGGAGAGCGGGGAAGACCCAGACAGGGCACATGCCGGAGCCACCGAGCAAGTGTTCTGTCACTGGGGCTGGACTCCCAGCGGAGCACACACCATCCACTTCCATTTCTGCACAGTGGCTTCATGTTACAATCCACCTGCCCGTTCCAAAGGCGGAGCCTGGGTCCCAGCCCAGAGGCTCTGATTTTCATTGGCCCTGAGTCCTTGGGAGACGCCTGACGTCAGAACATCAAAGCACCTTCTCAGCTCTGACCTATGGCCAGGGTGGAGGACCATCGGAGACCCTCAGAGTGCACAAGCCGGGTGGGGGCCCTGGCTCTGCTCTCTTTGAAGGTGCCCATGGCCCTGAGATTGAAAGTGTGGGGTTGGGAGTCTGGCCAGGCCTCGAAGCGCGGCTGACTGCTGTGTGAGGGCAGACAAGTTGCTTAACTTCTCTGAGCCTTGGTCTCCTTATGTGTAAGATGGGACTCGAAATAGCGTTCACCTCCCAGGGTGAGATAAATATCATGACGGGCTCGGCACAGTGTCCTTAACATTGAAAGTGTTCCATAGACTTAGCAGTTAGTTTATTCCCTCGAGGTCAGGTGTGTCTACCGCCTGCTTTCCCCCACCCCCACCAGTCTCAGCACCTGCTGCCACATTGGCAAGGCCTAAGGGGACCGTGTCATTTGATAGCTGTGTGACCTTGAGCTTGTCGGGTGGCTTCTCAGGGACACATCCGACAGGTAAGAGAGTAGACACACTCAGGGAAGGGGGCTGCAGGCTGCGATCTTCTCGAGGGTTAGCCGATCGGGGTGAGAAACTCAGGGCGGGAAAAACGATAGGGAGGGAGGGTATGTGTTTTGTCGTAAGGCAACTGCATAGCTTGGTGTCTTTAAAGTTTGTTTGCTAAATTTAAAGTTTATTTTTTATAATTTTAATTCATTAAAAGCATTGCCTCCCTGGCACATGAAATGCCCACTGTGCTGTGTGCAGACAGCCCTCCATTAAAGGGTGACACCGAAGCCACTTTGTTCGCTCAGAAAATTGTAGTCTGTAGCCTTGTGGGTTTTGCCTTCATGTCTGGAATCGTATCCCCTGGGGCGGGGCTGGTCTTGCCTGGAGCCACAATTTGGGTCCCTTCCTCCCAGCCATGTGGCTGCCGCGAGTGCCAGGTGCTGACTGCTGTGCTGGGGTGACAGGGGTGAACGAGGCCTAGTCCCCCTCCCCCATGAGTTTCCTGTCCAATAAGGTGACTGAGCCAGGTGTGTGGGTCACTGCTGTGCAGGCATTGTGCCAACAAGGTGATGTTTCCACATCTTCAGCAGCCACCCCTGGCTTAACTCATCCAGGAGGCCCCCCTGGAGGAGGTGCCATATGGGCTGGGCCTTGAAGGATGAAGGAAACCAAACATTATAACTTTTCTCAAAAGAAGGGCTGCAGTTATTCAAAGTAACAGAATAAGACAGGTGAGGGGGGACAGGGAGACCTAAGGTAACACACCAGATATGTTTCAGCTCCCATGAGAGGTCTGAAGAGAAAGCATCGGAGAGAGTAAAAGTCACCCACATGTTGTATTGTACAAGCCTAAATTTTTCAGCAGAATTCGTGTTTATTGCTTTCAAATAACAAGTCATAAAATTCCAGGCATTTTTAAGTACCGAGGTGAGCAATGCCAGTTTTTCTCCTACGGAGAAGCCTTTAGGTTGTCTCTCTTTTTATTTTATTTTATTTTATTTGGGGGGGGGAATGTACAGTAAGAAGTGGACACCACACCATCTTTTCTTATCACTGACCAGGCAAAGCTAAGCCTCATCCCCAAATGATTTTGTTCCTAAAAGGGAGAGTATTTTCAAATTCAGCAAAAAGTCAGAAATGAAGATTTGCGGTTATGGAGGTGTCTTCCTCCCTCGTGACTGGGTTAGATTCTGAGCAAACGCTCCGGCGGCACTGCGGCAATCCTGAGCCTCACCCCCTCCCCACCGCCCCACATGCATTTGTACAGAATCACAAGCCAGTTTCCTGAAAATAAAAAAACACGGGCAGGTGGCTGCACTAAAACTGTTTTTCCTTTTAAGCTCCCTGGAACCCTGTTGAATATTAAAGTTCCATCTTGAGGCTAGACTCATTTCCGATCTGCCTGTAAGGATGTAAAACAGCGATTCTTCATTTGCTGGGTGATTGATTCCTGACTCTAGGTTCCAAATGCTCTTGTTTGCACAGCAGTCATCTACCTATGATATTGTTGGGTGTGATGGATGGTGTACAAGGTGGGGAAAAGACGCTCGATGCAACGTCAGGGAGGGCAAGTCTGCACATAGGCAACCAACCTTCTCAGAGAGATGCCCAGTGAGATTTAGGGGGAAAGAAAGCTGTCCCAGGGTGGGGGAAACCCCACAGGGCTGCCCGTCTTCATTGGTGTAGAATTGATTTCATCCTGCAGAATAAAGAGACTAGGAGCCATCCCCACCCCACCCCACCCCCAGCCCCCCCAAAAAACAGAAAAGGAATCACCCAAAGCCGTATGCCTGGAGCTATGGGCCGTGGGGACCGGGAGGCCCCAGCTCTGGTTTGCATCCCTACTTATAAGAACCCGGGCTGGAGGATGACAGAGGGAATGTTTACCAAACCAATTTGCTGTGTTTGGGGAGTGCTTGGTCCTAGCAGTCCCCGGTGGTGCTGGTGATTAACTAGTAAATAATGCATGGCCGCTCCTGGCTCCCAGTGTGGCGGCCATGTGGAGAGGCCGCTGTTGGGTGTCAGGAGGCGGATAAGATGGTCTGGCACCTGCCGCAGCTCCTTCCTTGAACCTGTTGCCTTTTTGACAGGTGCAAAACATGTCCCAATCCATAGAGGTCCTGGACCGGCGGACCCAGAGGGACTTGCAGTACGTGGAGAAGATGGAGAACCAGATGAAAGGGCTGGAGTCCAAGTTCAAGCAGGTGGAGGAGAGTCATAAGCAACACCTGGCCCGGCAGTTCAAGGTACGCACGTCCCTCCTCCGAGACCAGGCTCGTCTCCCCTTCATGCTTCCCCTTTCCCTCCAGAAATAGAGGTTGGGGGCCACGAGGGGCCCTGTAGCCTTGCCCTTGGCTTTGGGATCAGAGGCAACTTCCCCTCGCCCTGGTTTGGTGAAAGATACCCCTTAGCGGGGGAGGCTTGGGCAGCAGTTTTCAGATCCTATTAGTTTCTGAGGCCAGGGGTTCCCGGTCCCGAGCTTCTCCAGCCAAATCACAGATTAGCTGGGAAGGGGCATTCATGGGCCCCCGTCGCTCCACAGCTGCTGCACGTAAATCACATTAGCCAAGGATTAGCTTAATTGATTAGAGTCGTTTCTGGGCAGGGGTCACTCAGGGCAGTTTTTCACATCTGACCTAATTTAGCTGTGACACGGCTCACTGTAGATTCACAGGGAAGAAAGAGAAAGACACCAACATCTTTCTCACTTTGTGGTAAGTGTTTCTTTTCTCCAGGTAACTCTGGACACGAAAGCCGGAGTTTGTTTGACCTAAAACTCTATATACATATGTATAAATATGTATATATACACCTAGAGTTGACGAAGCTCCCAGATTATTACACTGAGAAATTATATGCACCTTAATTAAAGTGTACATGCACGTTAATTAGGAATCTAGCCCAGATGCAAAAGAACAGGTCAAGCTGCACAGCCCCGCTTGGCTAGAAATTGCTGACGCTCTGCCTTCCCGTCCTTTCAATGCTAATGTTTTCCTTTGATGAAGCAAGAAAGAATTCACTTTTAAAAGTGATACATTTTATAGACGAAATGGCAAGCTAATGAATTTATAAATCTATACTGTAACTAAAATAACAGCAGGCCTGATCCTGTGGAGGAGACATGAGCAGCCACTCTGGTTGGAGGCAGGTGGACACGCTGTCTTTACCTCTGATGTGTCATCAGTAATTGTCTTGGAAAGAGACCTTGACCTGCCTGACCAAAAAGAGCTTCTGTCTCTCCTTGAAAGGCTACTCCCTTCTCTGGGGCAGAGTCAGATTCCTCTAAAGATGAGGGTGTCTTCAGCACCCAGGGCTAGCTCATTCTGCAAGCACTGTGCACACAGCCATCTGCCTCCCAGCTCCCAATGTGGGGCACCGTGGTCCTAGAGGAAGAAAAGCAGCCCTTGCCTTTCACCATGCTTTAATTGCATTAAAAAGTCCAACCGAAATAGTTGTGAGGGAATCTACCTAACTGTCAAAGCCGTTTGTTTGGACTAACTCTAGCACTGAAGTGTGATTTTTTTTTTAATGACCATGAAAATATTTGTCTATTAATGGCTATCTGTTTAAGGCAGGCTAGTGAGGTAGCTCTTCAACAGTATTTCGTTTTCTTGCTTGCAGGGCTAACTTAAAAGCGTTTTTTCAATGCTGCAATGACTGAAGAAGCAGTGCATTTCCATGTAACCATGAAAGAGGGCCAAACAGCTTTTTGCACCCTGCATTTTTACTATTATTTTCCAATTCTTAGCGCCATTTCACTAAGGAACCTTGAACACAACCAGGATCCTCTATTTGCATGCGACTGTAGCTGCATTTCATGAATACTTTGAACCCTTGTCAATGCATTTTTTGAAAAAGAAAAAAAAAGAAACTTTGTGTATGTGACTTAAAGCATGTAACCTTAAGATGTTGCATTCTAACTGACAATAAAGACCTTTCCCAAATATGATGGTGTTCTGAAGACTGTTTAATATGCTCTGCTAACTCCTTTGGACCAGACGATAAATAAACCCATAAGTAAAGCGGGAGTGTGCACATTCCCTCACCTAGGGAGAAGCCAGGCCAAGGCAGGGTGTTACAAGTTTTTGCACGCATCGCACTGAACCCAGCTTATTTTAACCTTGCAGGCGATAAAAGCGAAAATGGATGAACTTAGGCCTTTGATACCTGTGTTGGAAGAGTACAAGGCCGATGCCAAATTGGTTTTGCAGTTTAAAGAGGAGGTCCAGAATCTGACGTCAGTGCTTAACGAGCTGCAAGAGGAAATTGGCGCCTATGACTACGATGAACTTCAGAGCAGAGTGTCCAATCTTGAAGAGAGGCTCCGTGCGTGCATGCAAAAGCTAGGTAGGCCCAGCCCCCTGCGGGGCGTGGCGCGGCCCCGCCCACCCGCGGCTCATGCGCAGGCTCAGGGAGTGGTGCTGAAGTGGACAGCGCCCGCCTGGCTTCAGGAGGCGACGGCTGGATTAGGGCTCCTGGGTAGGGCTACCTGGAGAGAGAGCAGAGGGCAGTCTGCACCCATGCGAGCGTGTTGTCCCACCCTGCGCAGAGGCTAGCTCCCAGACCCCGCGGAGTTGCACATCTGGACAAAAATAGGGTGATGCTAGATGTCGCAAGCCATCCGAAGAGTGTGTGTGTTTGTGCACGTGTGTGTGATGGGGCGAGCTCTTAAGACACAAGGGCTGGAAACATACATCTTAGGTTCCCTCCAGGTTGAGGACGAGGGCCGATGAAGTCTCTTCGATACTGCACCATGAATAATTTGAAAAAGAACAAATTCGGCCACACCACGGTGAAAATTTGCCATTCACAGTGAGTGAAGGCGTTCCTCCCCACAGCCTGTGAGCTCACGAGGTCCTCGCTCACGTTCACATTTTCCCAAAGGACCCTGAACAGGGGGCAACCCCTTTGAATTCTTATTCGTGATTGAACATCTACTTGCTTTATCAGCCTTCCTGTTAATTGCTGTAGCAAACCCTAGCGTGTTAGTGTCTGAGTCCACTTTTAAGTAGCACACTTTAAATTCCAGTTTCATTTTTAGGCTTTCCTAATAAAGATTAGCTGGCCCTTCTCACCACCGGTTTTAAAACAAAGGTTGCTCGTTCTCGTAGCGTATAGTTCTTAGAGGAGCTCGGGGTTTCTGCTTCATGAAGAAGCTCCCCTTTGGTTTTACATGATGTTCTAATTTGGATCCCTTTTTATCTCCCCCTTCCCCCCCCCCACACACACACACAGGCACGCCAAATGCCTTATTATAAACTTAAAACATCCCACAAGAATAAATACTTTTTAAATCCCTAGTGCTATTATGAGGTGAGAGAGAGCCTGCATGGAGACTGAGTCCGCCAACCTTTGTTTGAGCGGGCACCCGTTTCTAGATGATGTTCAGTGCTGGCCTAGGTGCCCCGTAAAGGCATATACTTTTAAGTTCCCCAGCCCTGGAGAGAAGACTGACATAGGCTGGGAGTTTAAGAATGAATCCGTTTTAATGTGTGCCCTCTGGCTGTGTCACATGGGGGAGTGTCTGCTGCATTTTTTGTGTGATGGGCTTCAGGGTGCATAAGTCCTGGTGTGTCAGGGGCTGGGTGACCAGGGACAGTCCCAGGAGGGGTCTGGGCTAGACTCCCTCTACCAGCTCTTTCCATTTGTGACATTTCAGGAGTCAGTGGGATATTTGAAATGTCCGTGATTATAGGGCTCTATTAATGACAATGGGGCTATATGATTATTACCATTGGGCACTGTCTTTGGGGTTCTGCCCATAATGACCCTGAGTTCACCAACCTCTCTCCAGACCCTCCAAGCCCTCCCACTGGGGGTCTGTCTTGTCCTCTGAAGAATCCAGCGTGGTGCTTTATTTGCTATTTATTGCCCCACAAGCGCTGTTTTCCCTCCCGGGTATCGAGGCTGTATAAACCGGGGAGGAACAAGATTAAGCCCCCACAGTTTCCGATTAGTGAGCCCAGGAGCAAAATGGAAATTCAGAGCAAAGAGTTACAAGTGGTGAGAAGCTAAGGGTCTTTCCGCGGGGGATGCCACCCTCTCAGGTTGAACAGCCTTCCTGTCTGTGCCCGGCCTGCTCTTAGAAGCTGGATGAATTTACCTTGTGGCTTAGGGTCTTGGGGCTGTCACTTGATTTCCCTTGGGCTGCTGAATGGTTGATTGGGGAATAAAGAGAGGACAACTAGGTGCTCAGAGGCTATGTTCTCCCAGCCATGAGGTTTCACCTCTGCGTTGAATTCTTCCTTCAAAAGACCTTGACGAGTAGATGGACCCGCTGAGCCGGAGTCTGCAGGTGGGGCCCAGGGAGCCGCATTTAACCAGCACCCGCATATTCAGATGGACCAAACTGTGAGAACCCCAGGCTGGGGAACAGTGTCATAAAGTAGTCAGGGCCACTCGACAGCTGTGTGGCTCTCTGAAGGCACCGACCACCTCGAGTTTCAGTGGCCTCTTTGTCTATAAGATGAAGGTGTAAGCGTTCCTGTACCCTGGGGTTACTGTGTGAGTGCACAGATGTCATTCATGTCCCGGGCCCTAAGCTGTGCCCTGCACAGAGCAGGTGGTAGGCGGATAGATAGGATAGGTAGGTATACAGACAGACAGATGATAGGCAACAGACGTGGATATAGCTGCTTCTCTTCCTAGGTTTTTGTTCTAGCTCAGTAACTTAAGGACCCACTTCATAGCCTGTGGCTTCTTAATGTCGTCTTTATTTTAGCTTCACAAATAGGCACCGTCTTAGCAGCCTGTTTCCTTGCTTGGAGGTTGCTGGCCAGCATAGAACAGAGGGAGGCAGCCCTCTGCTGTGTGGCACCGGGTGTGCCCACAGCTGTCCTGAGCCGGGAGGACTAGGGCATGACGTAGCGACATAGCATCTCAGTGGCTACAATGTCCTTCCCGCCGTCTGCCCCTTGGTTCCCTGGAGAGAAGTCTGACTGTAGGTTCCCTGGTGCACAGTGTCTGGGTTACCCTCCTGGTGTCACAGTGGGAAGACAGCCCCCCCCTGCCGCTCCCCAAAAGTGCTTTTAGTGAGGCCTCTGTGTCGCACCTTCTCTTCAAGCCGATGTTTCTGCCAATTTCTGGCCCCAGAATATACACAGAACAAAGCAGGTTCTGTTTGTTTTCTGTTTCCCTTTTTGAATCCCTGTCTCCATGGGATTGTGTGTTTGTCCTGATGGCCTACCGGAAACTTGAATCTGAAACTCTTACTTCTAGACCTCTTATATCTCCTGGCTTCGCTCTTCTCCATTTTTAAGGGGTAAAAGCTGGGAGATGGGCCTGGAGGCCAGGGGGTGGTCCCAGGACCCAGTCTACCTGCTGTGGGCAACCAGCCCCCTCAGCCTGGTCTCTGGCCTGAGTCCCTTGGTGGGCGTGTCACCCTGGACCTGTTCAGGCACCTTTTGGAGACACCCTGGCTCTTGTGCAGAAGTAGCCTCCTTCTACTTCTAGGAACAGTGAAAGGCAACGATTTCATCTGCAGGGTCACTGCTTTGTCAAAGCTTCCCACTTTGCAAGGACACCTGGCCCTTCCAGCTGGGTGTGCCGTCCTGGAGCTCAGCACCCATGAGTGCACCTGCATCCCCCCACTCCCCTCCCCGTGCACACACCCTGAGCACCAGTGACGAGAGAGGGACGTTTTCGTGAACTGAAAGTGCCAAGGCTGTACCACCCAGCTCTGCTGTGGGGCCTTTTAGATCCTGTCAGTTCCCAAGGTCTTGGCAGAACCAGTCTGGGTGGAGCAGAGCAGTGGCCTCCAGTCCCTAGGCCCTGGAGCGCTGAGCATGCAGCCATCGTATGAAGAATGGGGCTCCGGCTCCCAGGCCAGCTGGAACCCTTCCCCACCTGCTCTAACCCATGGCTTGAAGGCTCCTCCAGGGGCTGGGAGAGGGTGGCCCAGGGGCATTGGGTGAGGGAGAAGGGAGGCCTGGGCCCGAACAGGCGGGGCCAATCCGGCTGCAGGTCAGACCTGCGGCCTGTCTCCCAAGGCGCCAGCTCCCCTTCTCTGCAGCCACAGGCCGGACAGCCACCACGGGCAGGACGTGGTGCCATGGCCCAAGGCAGCCATGACCTAGACTTTCCTGAGGGTCAACCCCCTTTTCTCCATATTCTCAGCCTGAATTCACAATAACGATAATAGTGCGGCCTCCGTGACCATGTGCTCCCTGTCAGGCATCCTTCTAGAAGCTCTCCATAGCTTCAGTGCTGTAATTCTCGCAACCACCCTCGGAGGCAGGTTTGGTCATTATAGGCAAGGAAAACCATCTATGCCACACTCCTTCGCCTCCCGTCCCCTCTACTGGGACAGATAGCGAAGCAATAGACTGATGAGGAGTTTCTGGGAGATGAACGATTTCACCTCCAAGCCCCTGAGAGATGAGTCGTTCACTCACTCACTCATTCTGGACAGCTCCCCAGGCTGTCTTGGGAAATGCACGAGTGCAATAAGCGTCTTGCCTGGGGCAGTAAGACTCAGACACTCGTGCCTGTGGCCCCAGGAAATGTGTGGTCACTAGCACGGGTCAGTGAGAACAGGAGGGTGGGGTCAGAAGGGACAGGTGTTTGGAAGAGGGATCAGTTTGGGCCGAGCCACAGGAGACAGGTGGGAAGGGCGGTGCCATTCCAGGTGGAGCAGCGGCTTGAGCAAAGGTTGGGGGCAGGAAGGCAGGCTTGTGGCCAGGCACCTGAGCTGAGTTGGGGCTCTGACCCTTACCACTTTACCTGCGGAGCGTGGCCTGGAGGACAGAAGTCTGGCCTCCTTCAGGGAAGGTCATTCAGCAGAGTCCCAGTGAGTCACCGTCACACTGAGAAACGGCCAGGACACACCAAGTGCTCCAGATGGAAAACCGGCAGCCTGTCCACCCACGGTGCCCCAGGCCGTGCCTCCACAGGGGCAATGGCTCCTTAGGACTTCCGACAGGACTACTGTCCCAGGCCCAGTGAGAGGGAGGCCTTCCATGGGAACGTCACAGGGGCTCAGTGACTTCTCAGTGGATGCTGGCCTCCGGGTGCAGGGCGGGGCCGGAGGAGGGCTGCTGATGGTCACAGGTGACCCCTGTTAGCATCTCCAGGTTCCCACACAGCTCAAACGGTCTGCCGTCCTGGGGGCAGGCCAAGCTCCCCCGGGGCCAACAGGAGCAAATTGAGTGCGGAGGGACCAGCCTTGGGCTCTGCCTCTCCCACCCCACCCCACCTGCACCGAAAGCCCTTAGAGAACACCACCCCCAACCCCCAGGAGGTGAGTGGGGTGAAAAATTGGTCCAGGAATCCCCCCGAGATTTCCAAAAACCTACCCACTTTCTTCTTCTAGTTGCTGTGGATGCTGGTTAACCTCGGATGTAGCCCCAGCTCCCTCTCCCCATCTCTCCTCCCGCAGATTGGGGAGGGTGGACAGGGCTGAGCAGACTTGCTTTGATTTTCAGCAGTGACCCAGGCCCGTGTGCCCACTCGCCTCCCAGCCCTGCGAGCAACGGCAGCCTGCGGCCGGGAAGGGGCAGCGTTAACGTGGGAAGGTCCATAATTCCTCCAGAAGGCGGAACAGGCGACAGAAACCCGGGGAAGAAATAGATGCGTAAAAATAGTTGTGGCGTTTCTTTTTCGAATCTGGGCCAGAGGCAGCACCCGGGAGCAGAGGAGCGTGACTGGGGATTCGGGTGCAAAGCCAGCCCTTCTTCTGACTGCAGTCGGCAGCTCTTAATCCGTCCTCAAGCCTCCGAGTTGTCCAGACCCCTGTTTTCCTGCCAACGGAGAGCCGGGGGCGCCTGGCGCTGGGCCCGGGGTCAGGAGGGTCCATCGTCCCAGTCCTGTGTGATGCTACCAGTGGATGTACCCCACCGAAAGTTTGAGGAGAGAGCACCCTGAGTGTGCAGAGGTGGCTGGGCCAGGCCACGCCCCTCCCTGGGACCACCCTGCACTTTGCGGATTATCCTGGCTAAACCGAGGGCCTGGGGTTAAGTCCCTGAGAATCTCCCACAAGCGCCCAAATCCTCTCTGAACTTTGCAGGCTGCTGTGTACACGTGCTAACTCGCCGACTCGATGTCAGTAGAGCAGTAGAGACCTAGGAAGGGAGGACAGTACACAGGGCACACATCCCCACAGGGAAGCCGCCCTCCTCCCACCTGGGGAGGGACATGGGCTCCCAGGGCCCAGAGGCTGGCTGAGACTTGGTAGCTGCGCACGCACACAGGTTGGCATCGGGTGGGAGGAATGGGGTTTTGATGGTGTGGGGACCACCCTGGGCCGTCAGGTGCAGCCTGGGAGGCGTGCGGGCTGTGGGAAGCGCAGAGGCTGAGTCGGGAATGCTGGGTTCCAGTTTCCTCCTGCCAGTGTGAAGGGTGGTATGGCCCTGAGCACGTCCCACCCCATCACCAGCCTCCATCTGGGAGACAGGAGGGACCCGAGGTCACGTCCTGGCCGTCCTGATGCCCTCCGACCTGTCAGTGCCCTCAGAGCCCCAGCTCTCCAGCCGCTGGGCTGCTCCCCCAGGCAGAAGAGACATTCTCGCCCTGCAGGAAGAGCTCACAGGCTGTGGGGGGGAGGGGTGCAGGCGCCCCTTGCTCCTGGTCTGGCTCTGACTGACAGAAGGGAGCCCAGGAGGCATTTGTTAGAGTGCAGTGCACTGCCCTTCTGCCTAACGGGCGGAACCGTGGCTCGCACCGTGTCCTGCTTGGAGCCTCACTGTGTGCCCGAGTCTGCCGGGGGGCTCCAGCGCCTTCTCTCTAGCAGCCATCAGGGCCGAGCGGCCACTGTCCCCATTTCCCAGAGGAGAAGACTGAGTCTTGTCAGGCTGATCCCGCTCCCCCGTGGTGCTGCCCTGGCACCACCCGGGCCCCAAGGGGAGAGAGGGAGGCCTGGGGAGTGGCCCCTCCCTCCTCCGCCCTGGCTGTAGCTGCTCTGTTTGGGGGAAGGGCGCCTTCTCTGGCCTTTGGGGTTTGGGGTGCCGTCCCAGACGAGGGGGCAGAGGAGACACTGTATCCTCCCCCAGTGGGCAGTCGGCGGCCAAGGCACTCACTCTTCTGCACTGTGGCTTTCTTCCAGCTTGCGGCAAGCTGACGGGCATCAGTGACCCCGTGACCATCAAGACCTCAGGCTCGAGGTTCGGGTCCTGGATGACAGACCCCCTGGCCCCAGAAGGTGATAACCGGGTAAGTGCCCCCTTGGTCGGGCCTGGATCTGGGGTCATTTGGACCACTGAGTGTCTGGCTCTCACGCTGATGCCCACGTGCCCACTTACCCGGCAACCAGGGGCTGTGGCCTGAGCGAGCGTGGTGCCCCCAGGGGTCTGCCCTCCCCTGCTGAGGTCCCTGTGCCAACCAGAGTCACAGAGCACGGGGACAGATATGAGGATGACGGTAGCAGACCAAGGACGGAGCAGCAGACCCCTGCACTGCCCTCCCCAGGCGTGGGTCCCTCGGGCTGGGTGGGCGCTCAGCGTCTGAAACCTTTGAGATGTGCCCACCCGCCTCTGCTCAGGAGGAGAATCCATTAGCCTTTCTTGTTTTAATGACATCTCATTTGTATTTCATTTGCCATTCCTTTCATGGCTGATGGAAACTCATGCTTCTTTTTGATATAGGAAAGAGGCCATGTTCCTTTTTTCTAGACTTTTCCCACCTGGGTAAAATCTCAGAAAAGAAGAGACAAGGAGCACATGGTCTCAATTGATCGGGGGGTCTGGGTCCTGTCGTTTGAGCCCCTTTAGGAAGTGGGGGGATGGCGGGCTGAGAGCGGAGGGGATGCCTGCCCTGCTCAGCCACTGGGCGTTACGAAGCCTCGTTTTGGAGCGTCCGCTAAGGGCAGATTCCGCCCGAGTTCCCAGTGGACGAGAGAAGCTGCTTGGGCTTTGCGTCCTTTGGCGTCACTGGCCTGACCGCCGTGGCCCGGAGTGAGCGACCAGTAGCCTGGAGCGTTCCTTGTCAGCCCCCTTTCCTTCAGGGGCCTGCAGGATGCGTAGAAAGTAAGCATTGTGAAAAAAAAACAAAAAAGAACTCAATTCCTCCTCTGAGCCGGATTGAGAAAGGGGCTGAGAAATTTGAGGTCCTCTGAGCCACATCTGGAGGATTTTTAATGGAAACGGGTGGGTCATGCTCGGTCCCTCTGTCCTGAGATTTCCGATCGCCGTACACCCCCCATTTAGAAGGCAGCTTAAGGCATGACCTCTTGTAGTTAAAATGTGAGATGACACTGCTTCTGACACACTTCCTCCTCATGGGGACAAGGACAGGCGGGCTCCTGGAGCCTCTGCATTTGCCTTCATCCACAGCCTCCAGTGGGAGGAGGCCCCGTCTCACCCCCCAGCAGGGAACAGCGTTTTCCCAGCCGCGAATCCCAGCATTGGCCGGTGGAGAGGTCTGGAGGGGCTGGCTGCGTTCCGCACGCCCAGACACGATGAGGGATGAGACGAGGGTTAGCTATTTGGCGGGGGGGAGTTTATTTCTGTTTTATTTTCTGCATCGTGACCACTAGCCAGTACTTACACGTTTTCTAACAATTTAATTGGCTGACTGTTACCCTGACTGTTCCTTTGTCCACATTCCACCTGGAAACCCCCACGTCTATTCCGAGCTTGGTCGGGAGCGGGATCTGGCTGAAGGTGCTGGTGATAATGACAATAATACGGAAGTAAATCAAGGTGATGGCAGACACTGAGGGATCCGCCCTGTGTGCCCGGGTCTAGTGAAGCCCTTGGTGTACGTAAGGACCCCTCATACAAGGGGGAGTAACGGGGCGCACCCACAGCCACACGTGGGCCTGTCCTGCTCTGGTCCTTCAGTGACCCTCCAGCGCAGAGATCGTTGTCATCTCCACTGAGCTGATGACAAAACCCAGATCCAAAACAGTCATGTGACTCACCCAGGGTCTTGGAAAGGCTGCTCAGTGGTTTGGTGAACAACTGTCTACAGCAGGCACTGGCGTTCCAAGCTGAGTCCCCTGATACTGCCCACCCCCCCAATTTTCCTCTCCCCGCCTCCTGCCTGCAATCCACTTACCCGACCACGCACACCCCACAAGCCCAGGCAGACCCACTGGGGTCTGTGAGCCAGAGCCCCTGACCTTGGTGCTGCAGGAAGGAACCCATGTCTAGATGGCTCCGCCTGTGCCTGACACTGAAAATGTGCCTCTCGTCCCTGATTTAATATCAGTTCCCTTTGTCTCTGAGAGGGCTAGTCATTTATCTTTGCTCAGACACCAAGTATCGGGGCTCCCGGAAGCCCGCTGTTTGCCTCCCCCTTACGGGGAGGGCGTAGAACCGTGAAGCTGTCGAGGTGGTGATGGATGCGTTTGATAATTAGACATCTATTTTCTGCTTGATGACTTGATCGCCCTCCAGGAAAGGAGGCCCTGGTGATGGACAGATCTTGTGAGGAAGGCGGGAGGGGGAGGGCTTCTCGGGGAACTGATGGCACCCGAGGAAGGGAGGAGAGCGCTGGGCTGGCCAGGGAGGCCAGGAGACTGCTCAGAGCACTTTGGGCAGCCGACAGCCCCACCCCAAGCTGGTCTCGGGCCATTCTGAGCCATGAGGTGGAGGTAGTGGCCTCCAGCACAGCCGCTAAGTGACACGTCCCCAGATCCCGCCATTGATCTGGAAGAGACTGTTTTGTTTTGTTTGATTTTTTTCCATTTTCCCATCCAATTTTGATCACACACACGCAGGAGACCAATAACTCGCTCAAAACAAAAAAAAGAAAATCAATGTTAGCTTCAGGGCAGGCTGCCACGGGTGGGGGAGGGGGCGTGCGTGCGTGGTGAGAGGGATGTGGCCAGAGGCTGAGAGGGAGGGAACTGCCCAGGGACCCCCGGTGGGGGCCCGTGGAGGCCAAGGGGGCGGCGGGAGAGCGGCACAGCGGCCAGGTCCTGCCACCTTTGCGCGGAGCTCTTAGAATGAGGTTAGTTGGGCATCCTTCCTTCCCCATCTCATTCATTAAGCACCAACTGTGTACCAGGCGCTGTGGCGGACCCTATGCTGGACACCAGGCCCAGAAGCCACCGTCTCTCAGCGGCGACCCGCCCACGTGTTTCTGTTGGCACCCAGGCTCCAGAAGCTCTCTGCCTGATGCCAGGATCTCGTTCCCGTCCCCTGCTAGGCCATGCCTCTCCCCTGGGAGACCACGTGCTCTCCAGGGACCCTGTTCTCCAATGCTGAGGCGCGTAGCTCCGACTGTCCACCTTTCTAGAGCCCCGTGTCCACGTCCCCTTTACTGGCCTGCCTCTGCCGTGGGTGCCGCAGCCCCGCTCACACCAGACATCCTCAGCAAGGGGCCCAGTTGCCTGTTGCCACCCCCAGGAAGTGCCTGTTCAGAGACACTATCAGTTTACAAGGAGCAGTGAGCTTAGCTTTGTGTGTAAAAGCTGCTCCCTGCATCTAAAGGGTGTCAAAGCCATGCAGACGTTTTATAAGGGTCATTCAGAATCCCTTCTCCTGAAGGTCAGATGATCTGACAGACTATTGGATGTGGTCAGCGGTCAGACAAGGGCCTGCACAGTGAGGCGCTCAATAAACACTAGCCCCCCTCTATCCTTTCGTCTGTGGGGGCAGCGACGGTCTGGGGGTCGCTGACGTCTCCCTGCTCCGTGACCGTCTCCCCCCGTCCAGCTAACAGCTCCCTTTCTAGCATCTTTCCTCACAGCCCAGGCTCCTTGATGTCAGCAGTCCCGACAGGAGGACATGTGACAGAGGCCTGGCAATCCAAAGGGAAGAGCGCACTCAGCCCAGGTGACTCGCATAGGCCCCTGAGCAGTGTCCCCTCCCACCTCCCCTGGCCACGTCAGTGCCTCTGGACGGCGGTGCCAACTCAGTGCCAGACAGCTGCCCATTGCCCTGTGCTGCCGTAGCCGAAACCTCCCTTGTCACTGAAAAGCAGATGAAAATAATAGAGACAACTAGGAGAATTCCACGTTCTCAGTAAACTCGACCTTACGGAACCAAACGCGGCTGAGATGTGGCAGACCCGGCTTTCTGACGGGAGGCAGCACTGGGTGTGCTGGCCTCGTGCACGCAAGGGGTGGCGTTTACAAATGTAAGAGTCGGCGGGTTGTTTCGCTTCACCTTTTCTGGCACAGGGAGCCTCATGGATGGGGAGGGGGTCTGGGCAGGGACGGGGGCCACCCCCGAGGGCAGGCAGTGTCCAGGAAAGAGGACTACAGCCAGATTCTTTAAGAGAAGGGGCCTGTGAGGAGGCAGCCCCAGCCCCCATCAGCCTCGGTGCAGGGCGGGGTGAGGCTGTGGTTGGGAGAAGGGACCCCAAGACCCCAGGGAAATGTGGCTCATTGGCCTTCACATTGTAACATTCACATTATAATGTGAGCCCTCACATTATAACCTGTGAGCAGATTTTTAAAATCTTGGTGCCAAGGCTGCAACTCAATCCAATTAAGCCAGAGTGGCGGGGCCAGGACCCAGACAGGGGACGTGAGGAAGCTGAGAACACCTGCCGAGAGCCGAGTGCGGTCAAGTCCACGGTGAGCCACGCGGGCCCCCAGCCCTGTCTGCACAGTAGGACTGCCTGGAAGCTCTAACCAAACACGAGCGGCTGGCTCTGCCCAGCTGTCAGATGTAATTGTTCTGGGTGTGAAAGCTCCCAGGCCACTCAGATGCAGCAGGTTGACAATCGGACAACTGCTGGGCCCAGGTCGCTGGTTCCCACACAGGCAGCTGGGGAGGCCAGACAGCTGGGGAGGCCCCTGGAGGGGACAGGACACCTCTGAACTTGGGTGTCCAACACCACCTGGACAGGAGGGGAAGAGGCATTTCCGATGAGACCAGAGTGCACACACCCAGGGGACAGGGAGCCCTCAGTGAAAAACGGGGCCCTTATCACAAGGCCTTTGGGGGTGCCAAGCATGCGCCTCTCTGTTGCACAGGGTGGCTTCTCATCCGTGACTTAAAGCCCCTCAGGCCAAGAGCTGGTCGTCAAGCATGTAGCACCTTGGACTGTTTTCCCTCCCGCCAACGCTGCATCTTCCAGAAGTGTGTCCTATGTCCAATTTGCCAGTTTACAGAAGAAAAAGGACGTTTTAAAGTCCTTAGTAATTTGATGATGATTCCACCCATTTCCACACATAGAAGGGAAGCACTGGACCCTGGGGAACGGGAACACATCAGACCCATCCATTACCGAAGGCCCAGTCGTGGGGAAGGCAGACGTTGGCACACATTCTAAAAGCGTCTGGGCGCTGAGACAAGGCGAGGCCATTCCTTAGAGGGGGGTCGGGCGAGGGGTCAGGGAGGAGTGTCCTTTGAGCTGAGCCTGAAAGAAGCAGTGAGCGCCCCGTCTCAGGAGATAATCAAGCAGAGGGAGGAAGGCCGTTTTTGGGTGACTTGGCCAGGGGAGTGTCCGCAAACCACCCTGAGAACCTCCACCCATCAAAATGCTGCACTCGCCCTGTTCTAATCTGTGCCCATACCGTTGAGGGCTGGTCTGTGGAGGCTAAAAACACTGAAAGCCTCAAATGAGACCCAGTTTGGGTTTTTGGGGTTTTTTCCTTTTAAATCTTGTTAAAAACAAAAAGCACATCTGAATGGATATCTCAGGAACAAGGTTGTTTTTTGGGTTTTTTTTTAAATTTTTAACGCATGTGTAATGCCACCTCGGAAAGTGGCCGCCCCCTCCATCTCCCCTGCAGCTCACAGGCCCGAGATGGATAGAACAGCTGTCCTCCTGCCAGACAGACGCACCGGCAGTGGTGGCAGCCGGCAGACTCCTGACTCACGCGTTGCTTTCTAATTTGCTCCCATATTGGTTGAAAATGACTAGAGCATTTTGTACAAAGCCTAGACAGTTTCGAGTCAACTGGCATTTAAGCAATAATCAGACATCTCTTCCTCCGTCACCCCGATTTGGGCCACTCCTGGGTTGGTTATCTTGGTTGATTTCGACAGTCAGGGCCCTTAGGAGCCCGCCTTCTTGGACAGGCACTTTGTCCCGGCCTGGGTGTGACAAAGCGCGATGACACTCGCAGCGTCCCAAATGCCAAATTAATGACGTTCTGCCTGGCAGACGGGATGACTCAATCCGGCCTGCTGTGACGGAAACAGAAAGGTGGGGCCGAGAGGCCTGACGTGTGGTGCCTGTTGGATGCGGGAGGCTGCCCTTCCTGGTGACCTCAGTGGGTCAACACCGAGACAGGAGCTGCCCGGTGCTGTGTCCTTGTCCAAGGACCAGGCAGCCATGCCCTTTTCAACGCTGTCCTGCCGGCCTGGGGTTTCATACATTGATGGGGTTCCTTCCTTCCCCAAATAGGTGAGCACCTACTGTGCGCCCTTGGCCCAGGAGAGGGCAGTGAACAGATAGATGTGCCCACAGACCCGCAGCCTGGAGGCACCCCAACAGAGGGCTCGGTTTGGGCACCCATCATGGTTTTCCTTATGACCCACTCATGTGGGTGCAGAGTAGCCCATGCCCACGGGAAACTGGGGGTGCCCCAGGCTGTCAGTTTCCACACCCCGTTCTCTGACCTTTCCCCCAGGTGGATGCTTCTCCCTCTGAGGGGAAATAGCTCTCCCCACTTTGGAAGCATGCCCTGAGAGTTTAGGGGAAGGACATGACATTGTTCAGCCTTAATTGTTCTCTCCTGGGCCACTCAGCCCGTCTTAGCCCCTCTGTGGGAGCCATAAATTAAATTGCGGTGGGAAGGGCCGCCCCCCGCTAACCGGTCTGCTGTGCCCACAGGTTTGGTACATGGACGGTTACCACAATAACCGCTTCGTCCGTGAGTACAAATCCATGCTGGACTTCATGACCACGGACAACTTCACGTCCCACCGCCTCCCACACCCCTGGTCCGGCACCGGGCAGGTGGTCTACAACGGCTCCATCTACTTCAACAAGTTCCAGAGCCACATCGTCATCCGGTTTGACCTGAAGACGGAGAGCATCCTAAAGACGCGCAGCCTGGACTACGCCGGCTACAACAACATGTACCATTACGCCTGGGGCGGCCACTCGGACATCGACCTCATGGTGGACGAGAGCGGGCTGTGGGCCGTCTACGCCACCAACCAGAATGCAGGCAACATCGTGGTCAGCAAGCTGGACCCCGTGTCACTGCAGGTGCTGCAGACCTGGAACACCAGCTACCCCAAGCGCAGCGCCGGCGAGGCCTTCATCATCTGCGGGACCCTCTACGTCACCAACGGCTACTCAGGCGGCACCAAGGTGCACTACGCCTACCAGACCAACGCCTCCACCTACGAGTACATAGATATCCCCTTCCAGAACAAGTACTCGCACATCTCCATGCTGGATTACAACCCCAAGGACCGCGCCCTGTACGCCTGGAACAACGGCCACCAGGTCCTCTACAATGTCACCCTCTTCCACGTCATCCGGTCCGACGAGTTGTAGCCGCCAAGGGTCCAAGTCCTCCCCACGTGGACATTCCTGTGAAACAGCTGCCAAAAAAATAATAATAATAAACCCCACTCACGATATTAATAATGCTAATCTTGGAAACTCATCAGCGGCGTGGAGTGCGGCAGCGTGTGATGGCATGACCTCCGTGATTCTCCAGCTCAGGCCAGAGGGCAACGGCTTTGGGAAGAAACCCCCATCTTTGCAGCTGGAACTGCAGCCCAGGGCTCCCCGGTTCTGCCCCTGTCACCGCCCCGGTCCCCTTTCTGGTCAAATAACATACTAAAGAAGCAAGGCGATGACTGTTGGCCAATGTCGCCCAAGAACAGCCCACTGTTAGGATCGCATGGACCTCTCCTTAGAGCGTGGTCGGCGCCGATGGACGGGATTGTCGTGTGTCATTGAGAGCACCCCCCGGGCCGCGCTTGGCATCCGGAGGGGTCCACGTAGGCTAGTTCAGCTTGTACCCATCACAGCGGCTGTTCCTCGACTGTGTGTTGTGTCTTAGATTAACGTGCTGAGACCCCAGTAGCCCGTGGCCCCGTGTCTAGTACCTGCCGCGCAGTCGTTGGCGTGTGCAGCACGGACAGCCGCGGTGCCCACCCACGTGAACGTGCCCGACCCCTAGTGTATTGTGCAACGTCTGTCATTGTCTCCTTGAGGTGGTAACTCTGTACGTTCGGTTTATGCAATGGATGTTGTAATGCAGTGCCGTAGTTTGGATCAGTAAGTGGATGGTTCTTGTTTCTAAAAAAAATAATAATAATAATAATCAGTGTTCACCCTTATAGAGAGATAATCAAGTTCGTGTTGATAATAATCAAAGGAATTATTTGCTTCTTGTTCAATTATCTAAACCATGTAACCGCGGATGAGAAGGGCTCATCTAGGGGAAGGCCCATTTCCCGTGGGAAGGGATGTCCCCGAGGGCGTCCGTGTGAGGAAAGTACATTTTTTAAGTAAAAAAGAGGGGAACTTTGTACTCTCCAGTTATCTAAGGAACAATAAAAATATTAGGAGACGTTTTTGCTTTACTTGTCATTTCTGAGGGTTTTAAAAATGATGGATTCTGGGCCGGCCGAGTGGCGCGTTGGTTAAGAGCTGGCTTGGGACGCCAGAGGGCCCTGGTTCGGATCCCACATGTGAGGGCCAGTGACACTGCCCTACAAAAAAAAAAAAAAAAAATGATGGATTCTTTCAGGTCCTTGCAGATATCGTCCAGAACGTGAGTGTTCCCAGAAGAGGAAGGACGGTCCCTCCTTTTGGGGAGAGAGAAGTGGACACGTTCCCTGTTGGGACTCTAACCACCCATCCCCTAAAAAGGTGGAGCCTGGAGGTCACCTGAAGTTTCCCTCCCCCCTTAGTGACTCAGACTCCAAGGCTGCACCCCTGGGAGCCCCACCTCCCCACCCCACCCCTGCCTCCTCCACCTACCTGTCTCCCCCCAGGTCACAGCTGGAAAGAGTCTGGGACAGGTACCTGCTTTAGACATGACAGGTGGTGCCAGCAGAGACCCTGCTGAAGAGTGGGTGAAGGTAACCCCAGGGGCTGTGGTGCGCAGCTGGCCCCCTCTGGGACCTGGGTCCCCAGGCCTTGGAGACGGAGAGACCATAGAGTATACAAAGAACCCAGACCAACAAGGACCAGGCCCGTCAGCGCAAAGTCAGGCTCTGCCTCTGAGCTGCCCCTGAGGGCTCCATAGGACAGGCCACACGCACCTCCGTGTCGTGAGCCCATCTGGAGTGCCCCGGGGCTTCGCGCCAACCAGAAAAGTAACAATGTCAGAGTTCGCAGGACAGCGTTGGGGACCAGCCGTTAGCACTAGAGGTCCAAGGCGTGCCATGGCGTGTGGGAGCTTCCCCTCCCCTCTGCTCTGGGGCAGCTGGCACCCGTTGGCTGAATTGCTAGCAGGGCAGCGACGTGGGCACTGGGAAAAGCCAGCAGCCTCCATGAGTCTGGCCCAATTGGCACTGAACTCAAACGAGTGAACAAACGAGCCGACATGTTTCCAAAACAATCTTCCTGAATTTCTGTCATTTGTCCTGGAAAGGCAGCTGGGCCAGTACCCGGGCGGGTTGTTGGTGGCACGTGGACATAGCTGATGTTCACAGTGCTCGTAAGCAGCAGTCGGTCTGAGGATATCTGACACCAGTCACTCGGAGTGGGAGACACTGAAACGGGGAGCTATTCTGGGAAGGAGGCCTCTGGGGGTGTGGGGACCATGCCGGTAATGGTCGTAGTAGGTACCCTTGTGACCCAGCCCTGGCCCACAGTTGGGAAAATATGGGATGAAAACTAAGGCATAGGCATTCCAGCTCGCCTCCCCCAACCCCCTTCCTGGTCGAATATCACACAGAAGAAGAGAGTGGCTACCAGCTGAGTCTCACCCACCCTTAGGACTGCAAGGGCATGTCCTCATGTCCTTAGATGGTGGTCAGCTCCCCCGGGGGAAAAAGAGGGTGAACCATAAACCACTGAGGGAGGGGCAGGGGGAGACAGGAGGGGGCTCTGGAGACGTGCTGGTGATTGTTGGCCAGCAGGTCCTGAGTCAGCGTCGGGGGACGGCGGCTGCCTGGCCTGGCCTTTGGCCACTCTGGGACCCCTCCCCTTCCCCCTGCCACCCCCAACCCCTGCTGGACCCTTGGCTCCCGGGTCACAGGCCTCCTGGACTCCACTGCAGGGAGACAGTGCCACCTCCTGCCTGACACAAGCCATCTCTTGAGCCCAATGCACCTGGACCCTTCCCCTCTGCCCACCCCCTGCTGTGCCCACCTCCAGACCCAGTGCATCCTGGAGCCTCTCGGCGCCCTCTGCTGTGACCTCCTCGCTGTCCTTCCTCCCATCCCAGCTCAACTGACAAAGGCTCCACCTTCTAGAAGCTTCTCATCCCCGTCTCCAAGGAGAAGTCATCGCTTCCTCGTGGGCTCCTGAAGCTCTCCCTGAGCCACCCAATCTCGTCTGCCCCTTCTGCCCAGCATCGATGCCTCTTACACCCACGCCTTGGGATTCATCAAGCCCAAGACCAAACAGTGCTTTCTTGTCACTTTTGGGGACTGTGACAATAAATTGGGGAGGAGAGGGGAGGGGAAGGAGGGAAGGAATGCCTAATCCTCAATCAGCCTCATTAGCTGGAAGTCATCCCTCACACCATGGCTGGACCAGCTTGCAACTAAAACTTTTACAAGTGGGAGTGTTTTCATCCTTTACGTTTGCAGGTTATCAAAGAGTGAGACAGCATCCTCCCATGAGAGACGGGAGCTGGCGATGCCACGGGGCCACCCACTACTGATGTGACAGGAATCCCGCCCAGCGCCGCCAGCAGAGGGTCTCCTGTAATTACAGCTGCATTTACCAGCTGACTCCTCATAACCTCCCCTTCGTGACAGAGGAAAGGACAAATGTACAAATACCGGTTCTCAGTCACCAGAAGACACAGTAATGACCTGATGGGCCCAGAATGGATTTGCTGCCTCAGGCCAAGTGTTTGCTCCAGAAGATATTCCCCCAGGGTATTAAATACGCTAGAAAAAACGGTCCCACCAGTGAGCAAATCAAATAGCCGGCCTGCCACTAAATCTCCCAGATTCCAATAACCGAACATCTGTGGATGAATTTTCTTTATTAAAAGTTTGGCCTGGAATCAAAACCCAACAGTTCTTTGGGGCCTTCAGAGACCCGAGCCTGAGAGGCTCAGCTCTATGTGCAGCTGGGCCTGGAATGGTCCTGCTTTCCACAGGGCTTCCCTTCCCGAAGGACACCTGTCACCGGTGACCCCTCGCAGGTGCCTGTGGAACTCTGCCCCAGCTCCTGCACCACGAGGCCCGCGTGGTGTTTATGGGAGGCGTGGGGTGAGGGCGGCCCTTCTCCCGTCTCAGCTCGCACAGGTGAGCGGGAAGGAGGCAGCTGCTGTGGGTGGAGCAGCCTTCTCGGGGTTCTTAGGAAGCGCAGAACCGCCGCCGTGCAGGTGCCAGGCTCCATCTATGAGAAGGGAACTGAGGGGCAGCAGTCACTTCACACAGCTGGACACGCCAGGATGGGGCGTAGGCTGTTGTCTTCTATTGGGACGGTGAACTGAATTCCGTTTGAAGGCTACCAGTGGGAGCTTGAGCACCGGAGACACTTAGAGGCCACTTAGAGGCCGTGTTAGCACCCATCCCTGCCCCCCAGGCGTCCCTTTGACCTCACACCGTCCTGCAGGGGAGGCGCCAAGCTCCCTGTGCACAGATGGGAAACTCTCTCGGGCAGCTGAGCATCTGACCCACAACCCAGCACCGGCCGACATGGAGACACATCTCTGAAGGTGGGTGGTGCCTGGGCAGGTGCTGAGCCGAGGCTTTGGACAAGCGGTTCCTTGGTGTTCACGGGGCAATGACTCCCCCAGAGGTAGTTCCTAGAGGCCGAGCGGGGGTTTGGGAGGGAGGGGAATTGAGGTTGGATTCTTGTCCAGCCACCTGTGTAGGTGAGCAGCTATGGGGACTGCTGAGTCATGAGGAGTGAGGCCGAACCCCCGGACACACTGGAGGAGGGCTGCCCTATGTCCCCAGGAGCTCAGAGCCAGTGGCCCACCTGATGCTTTTCCTCATCAGGCCCAGGCACAGCAGCCTTCTCATTGTGAACGGGATAGTCCGCTATCAGATAAGATGTCCCTTCCTTGGTGGCCCAGACCTGCAGTATGACAGACTAGCTCTCTGGAAAACAAGCTCCACTTGGTTTCCTGTGGGTGAATTGTTTCTGAAAGGGCCTCTTGCAGCAAGAGCTTGTTTTAATAAATCCACTGTTAGAGATTATTTTCACAGGCTGCAAGAATGAGATATGGAGACCTTTGAACCCAGCAGCAAAGAAAGGCATCAGTTGGTACCCACACCCCACTTTTCGTATACAAAAAGCACCCTGCTTGGATATTACTCTGTTGCTTGCTGTTTCACGTAACAACATTCCCTGAAGGTGGCATAGGAACACGGAACTCTGCCTTGTTCCCCTTCCTCACTGGGTGGTATTCCGTCGTGTACACTTGGCATTGTGTATGTCCTCAGCACCCCCCTGGAGGTGTTTGGGTTGTTTCTAACACTCCGCTCTGAAGAGCCTTTCCTCTGTGAATAACTGATTCAAAGCCGCACCGTGTATTTGCAGGTGACAGGTGTCTTTGGGCAAATGCTTCTGCTATTTTGCCATGTGCTGTTGAATTCCCTTCCACAGAGGCTGCACCGGGTTGCCTTCTTCCTGGCAGTGTCCCCGCATGCCGGCCGGCGTCCCCCGGAGTGTTTGGAAAGTCTCTGCGAGTTTTCCAGCCTGGCAGGTAAGACCAGGTGTCTCTCAGCAGCTTGAGTGTTTATTTCTCTTATTAAGAGTCAAGGCCTTTGGCAGTGTTTCTCTGTGAGCTCTCAGTTCATGTCCTCTGCCCACTTTTTCCTACTCAGCTGTGTTTTCTCCCACAAAAACGTTAGGAGCTATTTCTATGTGTGGGAGGTTGGTCTTCGTCTGTGATTCTGTGAGTTGCAAATATCTCTGTTGATTTCAGGGGTGGTGTTTTGTTTTGTTTTGTTTTGTTTTGTTTTGTTTTGTTTTGTTTAATGCAGTCAGAACTACCAATGCTTCTTCTGATGCTTTTGGCTCCTGAGTCACAGCCAGGACAGTTGGGTGGCCTCTACTCTGCTGCTTGTTGGGCTCCCTTCTTGCACTGTGACGTCGGTACCTTCGAGGTTATGTCATGTGACATGTGGGGCCAGTTTTATCTTTTCCCCAAAGGCTGCCCAGTTGCCCCAACACTGTTTATTAAACAGCCCAACTTTCCCCCACTACTGAATCCTACGCTGAGTGTCCCCGTATTTGGGCCCCGTTTCTGGGTTTTTCTCTTTGAGTCTAGGACGCTGTCCCTGGAAAGGGCCGTTTCCATAACCTGGGCCAGGGTTTGCCTGCAGGTGACTCCTCGTGACCTCTGCGCCTGGCACTCCCTCTAGGCTCTTCCAAGTGCTCTGTAAAGGCATGTGTGCAGTGACACCTACCCCTGTGATGGTGAAGTCCCACC